TGTTCTAGTCACTGTAACTGTGTACTTTTGATGAGGCATAGATGCAAGAATAACTCCTTTGAAGTATATTGTGAAGGTCTCTTTTGTCATAAATCTGCCACGTATAACCTGAATGTACATATTGCGATTCACACCGCAGCAGCTTGTCTTAGTAAGGACTCAACCAGTTGAAAACCTGAGGCACAGCTTCAGGGACAAGATCACACAATCTATCCTTGCTGTGATGATGGATCTACTAGTACATTATCTACAGTATGTCTTGTCCTTCTGATTTCTCTAATACCATTTCCCCTGATCTATGCTCACATCAATCTCTACAGCTTTACCAACTGCTACACAGTTTTTACATCTGAAAGTATAAAGCAAAAATTGTAATAAAGCACTATCAATTTACTTGTTAGATATTGATTTGAGGGCAAGAGAAAAAGGCAGAAACCTCATATCATAATCAAGATAATTGAAAATCAAATAATGCATAATCAAATAACTTTAATTGTATACACTACTGATGATTTAATATTTTTAACTTCAGCATTAATTTCTCTTGTTAAAGCATAGCCACTTTATCAAAATGTGCTTGAACAAATAATAATAATAATGATAATAATAATAAACAACCTGCACACAAGATGGAACATGGAGGTCAACTGCCATAAAATAAGTTGATTTGTACTTGGTAGCCTGAGAAATAGTATCAGGTATTAATTTGAGCAGTAAATTTGAGTAATAATACCACAGAGTTAACAATGACACAATCATACGGTGTTATGTAACAAAATTCATGCATTACTTGCTGTGGCAGTGTCCTCCTCAACCTATCGTGCACCGCAGGTTTTGATTTTCAATGTCATCAAAAAATTTTATTGTTGTTAGTTTGATCTATGTATCTGCTATTCAAATTATATCGATTGGAAAATAACTAACTGATTTAATTTTGCTTTTGCAACATGAAATTATCATTAACTTTGCCGGTTCACGTGTATACAGTACCTTGCTATCAGTGCTGCTCTTTTCTCCCCAACTCGCCACTGACAGGCTAACCACATCGTTTCAAAACAACGTTGGTATTCTCCTTTACTTTTGGTGTTGGCAGTTTCGTCCCTGGGACATCGTTTCGGTTAAAAACAACGTATCGTTTTCACCCATCTACGCATTGCTCCTGTACAAAATGGCCGCTTGTTGCCCCCCAAGGGAAAATCGTAGCACGTGGGTAGTTACGCAAGACCTGTGACGTATAACGCGCGCATCGTTATTAACTGAATACCAGGTTTGTTGCGCTGCTGCATTATGTAATATGCAGTGATTTAATTGGGTAGTGCTCCTTTGGGTAGGTCAAAGCTTGGCTTTTGCAAGGCATGGTTCTGTCAAAAAAGTATCAATATGTCGGCAACTACTGCATTGAAGAATTTGAAATTTTGCATGCAAGTGGTCGGTTTTTCAAGGTGTAAAATGAGCTATGCAGTGCTCTGCAAATTTGTTAATCTGTGGCCGAATGGCGCGAAAAAGTCAGACATTACCAGACAAATAATTGCGCCAAACGAAACGGCTCGCACAGTTTTATAGAGTAGTGCCCAGACTGATGTACCTACACAGAAGCCACACCCAATGTATTGAAATCTTACCGCCAGGGTACAGGACCCACTGTATGTCGAGATATGCTGTTGCAACTAAACAAAAACCACCCAGGCCGTTCAGAATGAGGGGTAAATTGTCACCAAAACGCATTTTTGAAGGACCTTAGCGAACATCAATCTAGTTTTAGCTGGTTGGAATACCAGACGACCTCAGGGGAATCCACTGTAAACAGCAATACATCGTTGTATGTTTCTCTAATGAATTGGGGACCTTGACCATTCTGAGTTGAACACTGAAACCTCGTGGGTTTCTTTATTGAGGTCAGATTTCACCTGCACCGCTCAACTAGTCAAAACAGAGTTTACAGACATCTAGAAGAGGTCAACGACTAAGCGTGTGCCGCGTCTAAAGTGACTAAGGTCATTAACAGCGTCAGTAATTGGAGTGGATACCACATTGGTGCCAAAACACCAATGATGGTCATCCACGAAAACCTGAACCAGATCAAATAAAGGAATAATCTGGGAACCACTTGGCTATCATTTGATAGGAGGCACCTGAGGAACAATTTCAGGTTGCACAATGAAATTGCTGGTTCACACAGAGCACTTTTAATAGCAGGTTATTTACAGAACCAAGAGGATGAGCAGCTACCTTGGTATTCAAAATCGCCATATTTGAACCACATAGACAATATGTGGGTAGGCCATTACTCGCCGAATCAATGGCCTACATGTCCTACAACAAAACTGGACCAAACTGGATACATTTTGACTGATGCCTGGAATGTTATTCCAGACTGAACTCTAAAAACCTAACCCAAGGAATGCATTGCCACTTGAGAGCGCTGGTAGCAGACAGAAGAGGTCAAACGTAACAGCGACCGTTACTGTGACTAGACACTGACATGGGGGTTCTTTATAAGGCATGTTACTCTTTTACAGAAAATAATTTGGAAAATATGGGGATCCAAAATATCCCTTTTAATTGTTGTCGTATGACATAGAATAGGCAATGTGTTTTTGTTTCCTTCTCTGGCCAATTCCATTAATGAACTGATGTCACAATGATATCAAAGAGATAATTAAAAGTTATTAAAACACGATTTTAATCCTTATTTTCAATAATCAGTCAGCAAAATAAGAAAAAAATGATGAAAAATGATTTGGAAAAAAATATTCCATATTATATATATATATATAGCCATCAAACGTGTCCTACTGCTAAACACATTCAGGCTAAAAGGGTGTAGCATGCTTAGGAGCTGTTGTCTTACAACTGAGGTTGATACAATGTTG